TATAAATTTTCCTCGTCAAGACAGACTCTTCCACCGTTAGCTGGGCCTGTTCAGCAATATTGGAGACGGCTGCATTAAGGCAGTTCGTCTTTCCTTCGAGTGTGAGGGTTTGCAGAAATTTTTGTTGCCCAAGTTGAGAAGACCTATTGTCTTATTGTCAACTTTGACGGGGCGAAGCGAGTTATCCTTGTTGTTGCTGCTCGTGTCATCAGACTCGGCCCAAATCCAATTCGGGTTGCGCTTCCAAAATTTATTGGAAGAAATGGACTTGATGCGGACATTTCCGTCGTCAACAACGAAAATCTCGCATGCCACAGTTGAATCGCCAATATCATCAGTTGCAAACTGCAAATATGGGTGATCCTCGATCTGACGAAGACACAGATAGTTATCATTATTTCCTTTGAATGCCACGAACCTAAGCACAAATTATTTTACTTCGTTTCTTTACTAGATTTTAATCTATTTCATATTTAATTTGCTAAATTTACAATTTTAATCTTTTTTTTTTACCATAAGCCAAATACAAGGCAATCTCTAAATCATATAAAATCATACCACAGATGCATTTATTTATTCTTAAATTTGGGATCTTCTCTTCTTTGGTTTGAAAGTCGATATTGTACCTGGCAACTCATTTGTGACAGTAGTCCCGTTATAAAGAGTGTCCCTTTGCATGTATGTGAAGGGAACATCACACTTAACATTTGTTGCAATAAGATGTACCGTCACCTTAGTCATTGGAGGCACAACAACTTTGTGTACAACTTCCAAAACAGTGGTTGACGTCTTGGTCTCTCCCCACTCGACACCTGATTGAATTTCACCAGATAATTCAATATTTCCCTCAAAATGAGTGGAAGGCCAACGTCGAAGGTGGATGTCACGCCTAACTTTAGTGAAAACATAGTCTTCCAAGTACTAGTCCTGGTATCTGTATAGGAAAGCTTCACGTCTAAAGTGGTGGATTCCTGGGTATAGTTACTGTAATTCTTGGCCACAGGAAGATCTGTTTCATCGTAGATCCTGGAATTATCGAGATCATATTTGACATTATAAATGTTCCTCGTCAAGACAGGCTCTTCCACTGTTAGCTGGGCCTCTTTAGTAACAGAAGGGACGGCTGCATTTAGGCAGTTCGTCTTTCATTCGAGTGTGAGGCGGTTGCAGAAATTATAATTGCCCAAGTTGAGAAGACCTATTGTTTTATTGTCAACTTTGACGGGGCGAAACAAGGTGTCCTTGGTGTTGCTGCTAGTGTCATCGGAATCCGACCAAATCCAAGTCGGGTTGCCCTCCAAAATTTATTGGAAGAAGTAGGATTGATGCGGACGTTTCTGTCGTCAGTAACGAAAATCTCACATGCCACAGTTGAATCACCAATATCATCAGTTGCAAACTGCGTATATGGGTGACCCTCGATCTGACGAAGACATAAATAACTATCATTATGTCCTTTGAATGCCACGTACCTAGGCAGAATCAACAAAGGCTCCCAATCAATGATTGTGAAGATATCACAACTATTACTATCACATAATGTGTAGTTGGCCATCACGCAGCGAGGAAATGCTGGAATTACTAATCTGCCATAAGCATAAATAGCATCCTGATTGGACATGCTTGATTCGAACCGTAGTTTTTACGGGGTCTACACAGATAAACTTGACAAATGTGCATGATCGTCGGATTGGTCTTCCTCCTCCTTGTTGGCGGTTGCAGTAATCCAGAAGTACTGCTCCAAGTGATTTCCTCTGATGGAAAGATTTTGGTTCGTACCCAGTATTTGTTGTTCTGACATCTGCTTATGTGCACCAAGCCATCTTTGGCCCAACAATCTCCCTTCAAATTTTGCGGTATGGGACTCACAGCTTGAGTTTCCTTGAAGCTGAGGATACCCATCAGACTCCCCATCTTCATGGATGTAGCCCAGATAATCGTTCTTGTCATTGGATTTGAGGACGATAAAATCTTGGCAATATCAAGTTCAATTTTCGGTAGCTCTCTTTCTTAATTTGACATTTGAATTGATGATCTCTACCAAGTAACTATTAGGTTTGGCTCTCTTGCTTTGTTTCACTCTTGTGATTGCTTACCACAACCCTCATAGGCTAGCTATTTATATCCAAAATTTCTTGCTCCTTTGGAATTTGGATGATGGAGCGTGCATTTGAAACGTGCGTATGAAATTTCCTACACAACCTTCAGGATAGCGATTTAGAGTAGGAAGTACCTATATACACTTAGTTGTAACCTATATTTGATGACCTTATAATTCGATGCACAGTAAAATTTATACCATAGTTAATGAAGTCATATAAATAAAATGATAATTCTAATTAAAAATTAATTTTGAAAATTTAAATTTTAAAAAGCAAAATTTAATTTAAAATTACATTTCTAATTAACATTTTTTATAAGGTATCATTGTGTGATTCTATTATAATGTATAGTATTGATACATTAATAGTATATCAAATATAAATTACATGTAAATTAAGATCTCAAAACAATATTTTTTGTAAAATAAAATGATATTTTGAAAATTTAAGAATAAATATACTTTTTTAAATTAAAAAACACTAAGTATTTTTAAAGAATTAAAAAAAAGCGTATAACATATTTTCCTTAAGAGTATGCATTTGCCCTTATTTTGTAGCGTACGCACGTGTCGGCATTTCGTCAGGTTGTATTTTGGAGACAAAGCATGGGAAGAGTTTTCGGGTGATACCTGCATGAAGATCAGTTATTTCCTTTGGGAATAATAAAGTTTGGGAGAGTTGTTTTAGATGGGTAGAATGAAATTTGAAATTTACTTAAGCTGATTAATATAATTATTTTTTTAAATATTATTTTTAAATTCAAATTTTAATAAATATAATTTTTTATTTTTAAATAATATTTTTTGTACTTAAAAAATGGAAGTGGCCCACAATGATAATATGTTCTTAATTTGACTCATTGTATTGATAAAATTTCAATTTTTTTTTGTAAAATTTAAATTTGGATCTCATTTTTAATAATCTCTCTTGATTATTGATTTTTAAATTTAATATAATTTTTTTAAAATTTACTATTTATTGTAACGACAAAGAGATAATGTCCTACTAACGTAGCTCTGATCAGTCTTAGTTTAGATCCAAAATCAGATCACACTTAATCTTTTACTCACTCAGTTTTAAGTTGCCTTGTTTGCGTGAACATCCTTTCTCTAATTTTCCAATAAAATAATTTTTTTTACTTGAAAGCCATTAAAGGAGGTTTAAATTCTAGAAACCCACGTCTCCATTTAACTTGAAAATAATTGTTTAGTGCGTATGTCACGGACTTAAAGAAGAGTTTTAAATCATATATCAAATATAATAAGAAGGTCACTGGGATCTAAAAGTGTTCACACTACCTTTTTTTTGTGAGGTGCATTGACAGGTAGACTAATTCAAGACACCAGAAGGATGAATGTCCGAATCCTAAAATCATGCAGGTTCGAAATTTAAGTCTCGATCC